AAAATCCGGATATGGAACCCCGTCTCCCTGCAGAATTACGTTACATTGCCATTCTATTTTCTTAACTCCAATATGGGCAAAAAGAGACTTCCCTTCCCTGAACTTTCCCAAATAGTCAACATCGATGGACACATTTAGGATCAAGTGTGCTCTCTCTCTGCAAATTACTCAACCATATCTGCAAATTATGGCTACCATGGCTCATGATTTAAAAGAAACCCTAGAAAAGGAGTAATTCTTGGAAAAGATTTGGTGAAGAGGGTTCATCGGAGGTTCATGGTGGAGAGAGAGGTTCTTATGGTGAAGAGAGAGGCTTCTCACGGTGGAGAGATAGAGAAGACAGAGAGAAGTTCTCATGATGGGAAGAGAGAGAAGACAGAGAGAGGTTCTCATGGTAGGGAGCATGGTTAGGTCAGACCAGATATTTTAAAAATAAAATAATAATAATTTAGAAATATAAAATATATTAGAAAACAATTTCTCAAATTTGTTTAATTGGACGAACTAGAGTGTGGATCACCAGGTAACCTGATTTTGACTATTTTTCGACTAAATTAAATAATTTGTTTTAGACTGAATCAGCTAAGACCCCGGTCAACCTAATGACCAAGTCAAACTAGTCCAATTGAGTCTGGATAACTATATAGTGAGGGAGAGGTGCACGAGATAGAGGGTCTCTATTTCCTCTCTTTTTTTGGCATTGGACTACATTGGTATTAAGGAGAAAGTATATGAATAGACCATTTTACTTTTAGCACAAGGAAGTCACAATTACTTTTTGTCTTTTATATTTTAAATTAGGTAGTTATGGGCATATCATTGACGAGCTTCACCCTCAAAGTTTCAAAAGAATTCTCTCAAATTTTGCGACACTCCTCAAGCCATCTGATTTGACATGAAATGGCTAGGAGTAATTATGATCTCCTTGTAAGAAAGTCTCATAGTATACCATCTCAGAATTAAAAAGTAATCATACCTCCTTATGAAAATTTATTTTTCATAATTCTCTCAAAAGAGTACAAATCTTATTGAGAGATTCATATTTCTCTCAAATGACTCACAAATCATATTGGGAGATTCATAAGTCTAAATAGCTGATATTTTAATAATTTTCCCTAAAAATTTGGCGTCTAGGGTGTGATGCTAAAACTATTGGGGGTAGGATGTCAGCAAAATTCATTTTGGGGGTAGTACTAATTTTCCCTAATTTTATTATAAAAAAATTCTCCATTTATCACCAATTAACAACAACCAAAATATAGAATGAGTAATCATACCAATAATATTATTGCTGATATATTACAACTTTGTAACAAATTATTTAGGTTTGTGCTGCACCCTTTCCACAAAGTATAAATTTTATATCAAAATATCACCAATTGATAACAATAAAACTACAGAGAAGCAATATACCAATAACACATTCTTATGATTCTTATTTCTAAAAACTAGCAAGTAATTCATAACAGGAAACATGATAAAATGGTTCACAGAGATAACCAAATTTCGAATTTACATAGAAAGATAGGAAAGTACTCAGTATTAGGTTCCTAAACTGAAATTGGGGAAAATTTAGTGAACTTAAATTATATATTCTCGACCAAATTGCACCAAAAAAAAACATAAGCATGAGAAAAATCGAAGAAAGAATTTCATGCATTACAGCCTCAAGAATAACAATAAAGAAATTAATCTCAGATTGTCTAGTGTCACGGTAGCTGTACCTGATCAAAACACTTCAATGGGCCTTCGAAGGCAACCCTAATTTTCCCTTTGAGAACACGAATTTTCCTTTTGGCCCTAAAATTTCACCAAAAGAAACAAGATCAGAGACCATAATGAGATACAATAAATCAAATACAAACATTAAGAAACTGCTCGGAAAAGACCGACAGAGAGAGAGATAGAGAGAGACTCTGTCCAAACCAAGAAAAAAAGAGACAAAGAAGGGGAAACTCACCTCAGTTTTCTTCTTCTACTTCTGGTTTTATGAGAAATAATAAGGGAGGGAGGAAGAGAGGATACGTCTTTAAAGTGTGGGGTTCAAAACCCTAAAAACACAATGGTGTTTCAGTAGAGAGAGAAAGTTTAGCATAGAAAGAGCGAAATGAGTTGAGATTTCCGGTAGAGAGGGAAGAAGCCCTACAAGAACCAGGGCCGCGTTAGGTTTCGATGTCTTGGGGCAGGGCAGCAGCGTTACCTGTCCTTCAGGGCTCTGAAAATAGAAATTGTACGTTGAAAATAGAAATTGTACGGATAATTAAGCAATTCACCGGTGAACCAAACGGTCCACATTAACTTTTGGATTCTCCTCTGGAGAGTTCTGATCGTACGTTAGATTCTCATCTCAAGGGTCTAAATCATACGGTTGAGAACGCGCAAGCGGTCCACAAATTGTCCATACGGTGTTGTAGTTTCTCGAGTAAAAGGACCCCTGACCTGACCAGTGACCACGAGTTGACGGTGCAAGACCATGTATTGTGGTCTCGCGGGATCGCCTAAGAGGCGCTCAACAGATAAAAGTGAAGAACTCCTCATGTCAAAGGCAGTTGCAACAATTCCTTCCCTCCAAGCAATGGATCTTCGCCTGAAAAAAAACACGTAATGTTTACACGATGTATACAATCCAGAGAGAGACAGATACCACGTTCTTCTCGACTGAAAGTTAATCAAGATATAGATAGAGAATATATGTTCGCGTGGTCCCGCCTAGAAAACCACGTGAATTTCACTCAAAGCTAGAGGGAGAGGAACCACTTATTCCTCCATTGATAGAGAGGGGAAACCACGTCTCACTGCCCTGCCCTGCCCTGCCCTGCACGTTATTGAGAGAAACATGTTATCCTCCACAGCAAATTTCTCTTCGATTCTCGCCCCCAAAGTCTTATCTTCTACAGCACACAAAAGACCTTTTGTTTGCCTCAAATTCGGAATAGAAGAAATAAAGGAAATCTCCCAAAACAAGGTACTATAGTCAATTTTTTTTTGATACTATCCTTCAAATTTACATGTTTTCTGTAAAATTAAGCATGAACATAAGTACCCATTTTCTAATTTTGCTGTCCCCGATTATCATTATCCCTTTGATTTTCGGTATCATAATGAATTGTCACAGTCATTGTATCTTTTCTGTGAATTAGTTTTCATAGCACTGTCGATTGTAGTTCTTTCGTTTTACCTCTTCTTTTTAGGTTTTGGTTTCAGCTACCGTTGCTGCTGCAATTGGGCAGTTCTCGAAGCCATTTACCTCTGCTATTTATGGCAAGGGTTTTGATTTCGCGGCCGCAGCTAGATCTGGTGGAATGCCTTCTACCCATTCAGCAGTAAGTCTCTCTGTCTTGTTTTTCTGTTTGAGCTTGAGGAAATGTTTCAATGGAATGTTGATTTCTCTCTCTAGACTCTTTCTCTCTCCTGTTTGGTATAAGGCCCAAGTTTGATTTCAATGCTGATTTTCCTAATTTCCTGTAAATATTCCAATGCACTTCTATGAGGCGCAATATGGTTGGTGGTCATGAAAAAGTATTGGAATTTTTTTTTGACATTCTAGAAAAAGTTTGGGGTGTTCTGGAATTTCTTCAATTAATTTGGGTCTTTTATTCATCTCCATCTAATTCGTTGAAAAAATGACCAAACTGCACCTAATAGATGAGCTATTTACTATTTATTCATATTTTTTTGTTTTAGGGAAAAATTTATTTAAGGTTGCAACTTTAAAATGTAGAATTAAAGGTGCACCAAAAAAATCCTTAGGAAATGGTTGTTTTAATGTTGAAAAACTCTCAAATTGATCATTTGGACATTTGAGATGTATGAATATATATTAAAAAAAGGGTGCGGTTTGTATAGAGCCTAGGCTCTAAACAATCAAATTAGAGCCTACTTCAAATAGCGTCAAGAAATATGGTTTCCATACCGAAAATCTTTTTGATAGCCTTAAAATATATTTTCATCTTTATTTTTAAAGTTTAAAGATTAAAAAATAATATAGATTGAGAGATCTATGAAAACTTGAAAATCTTGAAATTTGACGGTCAAAAAGTGCGTTACAAAATACACTATTTCCAAAACTTAGAAATCCATTTTTTTATCATGTCCCTACATCTTGATATCGAGATGATGAATATGAGGATATTTGGGCGTCCAAACAATATCTTCTAGTGAAATTTTTGAGGTAGGCTCGAATTTGATTGTTTGAAGCCTCGGCTCTATATAAACTTTTTCCTTAAAAAAAAAGAAGGAGATATTGAGTCTTAGAAATAGTGCATCTTGCAAGACAGTATCTAGACCATCCATTTTCAAGATTTTCATATGTGTATAGATTTTCTTGATTTTAATCATTTTTTGGAGTTTAAAATTTTATAATTAGATATGAAAATAGATTTTCAGATAATCTTAAGAAATTTTTACACCAAAATTACATGTTATGATAAAATTTGGAGGTGCGTCTTAATTGGATTGCTTAAGGTTGCAACCTTATAGAAACCATACCCTTGATTTAATTTCAAAATGTCCATCAAAATATACATGATCATGAGTTGGAATAGTTCAAAAAAGGTAAAATTTTAAGTAGTTGATAAATTAGGTGTATTTTGATCAATTTACTGTACATCTGGTACGTCTTATGTCAAGCGCTAATGATTTATGGCACCTTCAATTTAGTAGACCTTTGTTTTGATTGTTACATATTAATGCTCAGAAGGGTCACTTAAAACGACTTTCTAGTTTGATTGTAGCCTTGTTATCAGATGTTAAATGCGTTTCATATGGTCATTATGGAATAAAATCCACATTGGTCACAAAATTGGGCATGGGCTTGACTGGTTAGGAGTTGATGTTTAGCGATGCTACATCTCCATTTTGATTCCTACCACTAAACGACTCAGAAAATAAAATAAAACACCACATTGGTCACAGATCAATTCAATTTGTTCATGAACTCTTTTTGCAGAAGCATGAGTCATCATCTTCTGCACTAGGATTGGTGATTCCGTGCTGAATGCTATGAAGGTTTCAAATTTAGATGAGCTCTAAAAAGATGAGGTGGAACCTGATTTGTGATAAAAACTAAATGGCTTAGATCACTTTGACGAAAAGAAAACAAAATTCAACAAATGTCAACTAGTCTATGGGAAGCCTAAATTGGATAGCATTCATGAGGTTTCGTCAGAACTGCAAGATCATCTAAGAAAAGGAAAGAGCCATAATTTGTTTTCTGATGAGTTTTACTGCCAACTGTTGCATGTTTAAATTTGTAAAACTAGAAGGCTCATTTGTGATTGGGAAAATTCTAAGGTATAAGAAATGAATGAAGTCAAGCAAATTAACACTCAATGCCTTACCAACAAAGAATTGAGTCAAGCAAATGGCTTCAGATATTGTTGGGAAAAAGAGACCGTAGGTTGATAGATAAAGGTGAAACTAGTGAGTTCTCTATGAAAGTGTGGAATATTTATTTGGAAATAGTATGTCCACTTGCAAACTTATTCCACTGTATTTGTTAGTTTGTTGATGAATCTGTGTGTTTGGGTTATTTAAATGTGACATTTTAAAAAACATTCATTGTACATATTATTTTGCCTTATACCATGTTAGATCCATCTATAGCATGTTTGATGGTGGCTGTATATGTTTAATAAAATGTGGTTTCACTTACTATGAGAAGATAGTAAAAATTATGATATACTGGTCAAAAGTGTTACTGCAAAAATTATGTTATACTGGTAAGAAATGTTACTGCAAAAATTATGATATACTAATCAAAAGTGTTATACTGCATTCAATACTTCTAGGCTTTCCAACACTAAATAGTGCTGTGATATTTATATGTAACTCTAATTTTTCATCTCTAATTGGATTATTGTTGTGTCTTTGTATTGTCTGTAATATGAGGAGATTTGAAAGGTCCATTTAAGCTGCAAATTAATTTACTATGGGAACAGCAATTGAAGTGGAATTATGTTGCAGTTTCCTAAAGCAGGATTAAATTTATTTGACAATCTATTGGAAATCTGAAGAAAGGTTAAATTTATATCAACACCGTCAGATACATGTGTCATTTTCATACCCAACAAGGCCAGCAAAATAATATCCATGGATTACACACACACTTGTTGCTTCTGTAGCTTCTGTTTGTAATGCTTTGTGAAATTCCTTTTAATAAATTTGTCAATAGCCTACTCATGCATATTCTCATACAAACACACGCAACATTTTGGCTTCATCGTTATGGTGTTTAGTGGAACTATTATTTTTTTCTTTAATAAAGCCTGCTGATTTTCTATTACAGGGGGTTGTTGCTGCTGCCGCCGCAATTGGTTTAGAGAGGTATAGAAACTGTTCATCAATTGAGGATTTTGGGTATCAATTGATATTTACGGTGTTGGGGGAGGTATTACTAATTTTGGTTTTCTGAGGAAGTGATTGTTAATATGATTGTCTAAATGTGCAGGGGTTTTTCAGATTCAATTTTCGGTTTGGCTGTTGTCTTGGCTGCAATTGTTGTGTATGATTCTCAGGTAGTTCAATATTTTTCTCTTGCGGTGTAAGTAGGTAATGAACATTCTCATCATCCGTAAATTTCAGTTTTTACATCCTAGAGGTCATATATGCACAATAATTGGCATAGACCACTCAAAACTGGAGGGTCCATGCGATCAGTCATCTGGAAGTAACCAGTCTTATAGAATGGATTCATCCTCACTATCCTTTGGAATATAATGAACACAATCATAACAAAAAGAAACTTCTCTCCAGTGAAAATGCGATTTCTAGTATTTCTCTTTGCACATTGCAAGGTTTTCAAAGAATTCATTATCTTAAAAACGTGGTTGAACATTTAGAACGGTTTGCAATAGATTTCGACATGTTAAGATATTATTTTGTTCCAGTTGAAATAATTTGAGCTTTCATCCTAATGGTAAGAAGCCTAGTTTTTGCAAGGGAGGTCTAACTTTCAGACACTTGGAAGTTTCTCCGGTAATCAAAACAAGCTGACCTACCTATTTTTCGATCTAGTCAAAATCCATGGACTTTGGAAAGGTAAAATAATAACTAAAACCACATCAACCGGCCCTACATTCTTTTTTTTTCTTTCTTTTTTAAATTTATCTTTTTCTGTTCCGGTCCAATTCTATAGACTCTGGAAAGGAGAATAATAACTGAACTTTAGCATTACTACACACTGAACACGATTTCAAATGTTCAGTTGCATTGAGTTTGTATTTCATAATGGCTAACAGAAAAGTAAGAGAAAATATGGTATGCTTCAATTCAATTTTGACAAGTTGGAGCCTTTGTTTTTAGCATGTCAATTTATTTATTATCGATTATAAGCTGCCAGAGAAATCCTACAATTTGTTGAGTTATACCCGAAGATTTGGCATTAATTTTATTCCTCAAACCTAATATGAATCCAATAAAAATAATAATTTGAAGTCATCTTATATTGGCTATTATAATGACAAAAACCAAAATTTGTAGCCATGCATGTTGCATTTTAGTGTGCATCAGTCTGGGTTTCCCGGAGTGGTAAAGGGTTGGCATTGTTTTCAACAAAGTAAAGAGAAAGAGAGAGAGACAGACAGAGAGAGAGACAGAGGGGCAACCATCCACAGTTTTGCTGAATTCTTGTTTCTTTTCTGTGTTTGGCTCTGCAGGGGGTGAGAAAGGAAGTGGGTACACATGCAAAGATACTGAACAACACAATCTTAAAATCTGAGGCCCAACATGGCTTTTTAGAGACAGAAAATGGTGATTTAGCTGATGAGGATTTAGAGGCAGCCTCTGTTGAAGCAGGAGCTACTATTTCTTCTCTCTTTTCTTCAACAAATGATTTTTATACGAAGGATGAAAAGAGAGCAAAGTTAAATTCAAATTATTCTCAAATAAATAAACCCTCTGATGTTCTAAGAAAAAGCTTAAAAATGCCACTTATTGAGGAGGCTGGAAAAGAGGCGAAGAAAATTGGAAATAGGTACCCAAGATTGAAGGAATCGGTAGGACACACAGAAGCAGAGGTTTTTGTAGGCATTTTATTGGGTTTTCTTGTGACATGGGCCGTTTATTCAGTTATGTAAGAATTATTAGAATTGAACCGTCTCCATCTCAGGGTTCCAAAACACAGCTTCCAAATTGTGATAATTGGCATCTTCCAATTGAGTCCTTTGGCATCATAATTAATCACCATGAATCCTGTGATTAATTCAGAAAAATTTAGGTGGGCAACAAGTTATAAGATGAGAGATAGTGGTCTTAGGTGGGTTATTCATGTATGGTGCAAACCAAGTATAAGATCTGTTAGGAGGTATAATTTAGTTCAAGTAAAGAGCTCAAAAAAGGTAAAAAGATGGTCAAAAGGACATGGATGGAAGTATAATAAAATATATGGGGACTTCCTCATTGAAGTTATAGCCTTTAACAGAATAGAAGGGCAGACCAGGAGTCATGTAGCCGATACCAATTAATTAAAAAAAAACTTGATAATGACGATGATGACATTCATAGGTATTTTGGTCATTTCTTTTTACTAAACTTTCTTAGTTTTTATTGTGTGTGCGCATGAATTGACCAATTTAAATGAGAATAAAATGGAAATGGACTTATGGATAAGAAACAATATAACCGCTTTTTCTATATTTTCTCCAAATTTAAACCGGGCCCTACTTTTTGTTTTCTCGGTTAGGTTTGTAATTGTATAATGTGCCCACCATATATTATAAAAGTAAGGTGCACCTCTAAATTTTGTTGAAAGTATCGGAGATCTTACAATAGCTTGAAATCTATATCCAACCTAATAATGAATTTAAATTTTAAAAAATATGGAAATCAAGCATATCTATAAACACTTGAAAAAATTGAAAATAAATAGTCCAGGTTGCTTATTACAAGATGCAATATTTTTAGGACTGAAATTCTTTTTATTTTGTTCTTTGTATATATGCATCATGAGGTCGAGATGGTCAATTGGAAGGTTTTCCAACTTTGAAACACTCTTTTTTTTAGGTACACATTACTTCTATATTATAAAGTTGCAACCTTGTATAAACATTTTCCGCTTTTTTTTTTTATTAAAGTTTTGCCATGGTTCAATGTTAGTAACACCGAATAACTTTTTTTTCATATTTTGAATTTTGGTTATGGTTTGATATGGTCTGGATTTGCGAAATTTGAACCAACCATGGTGATTTTTTTGTGGATGGAGAAAGATAAATAGAAAACTACTTCCTTTTTCTACAATTCCAACCACATAAAAAAATGAAGTAATAAGCAGGTTCATGATGCTAATATATAACCGCACTAGAGAAAACCACATCCAAAAAATGGAAAAAAATAAATTTTTTTCTGTTTTCTGCAATTCCAACCACATTAAAAATAAATAAATTGCAAACCCCCCAAATGGAATTTTTATACATTTTACTCCACCAAACTTTTCTTAGGAAATACCCCCTATAAAAGTTCATTTTTTTTGGACAAAAATGCTATTCCCTCACATAACTAATTATTTTCGTTCAAGTGGGCGATCCGACATTTTGAACAGGCGATCTGGCAATTATTTGTGCTGTAATGGCCGGTCCAACGTTTTATGGTGGCGGTCCGACTATTATTTTTTGCTGAAATGGCCAGTCCGGCATTTTGAAGTTGCTGTTGGGCATTTTGAAGGGGCTATCCGTGGTTTTGAAATGGCGGTCCTGCATTTTGAATGGCAATCCGGCTTGGTGAAGTAGCGGTCAGGTGTTTTGAAGTGAGGTCAGGTGTTTTGAAGTGAGCAATCCGGCGTTGTACAAATGCAATACGAGTTTCCTTTTATTGGGATCTGAAAGTGATTTCTTACATGAGAGAAAGGTATTTTCGTTAAAAAAATTAACTTTTTGTATAGGGTTTTGGGCATAGAGATAAAAATGGGGAAAAGTTTATATAGAACCGAGGCTCTAAACAATCAAATTAGAGCCTACTTCAAAAACTTTACTAGAAGAGGTTGTTTTAATGTCCACATATCCTCAAATTGATCATCTCAACATCAAGATGCATGAACCTAAGGGAAAAATAGATTTCAAGTTTTGGAAATAGTGTATTTTGTAATGCATTTTTGGACCTTTAATTTTCAAGATGTTCAAGTTTTCATAGATCCGTCGATCTACACTATTTTTTAAGCTTTAAACTTTATAAATAAAGATGAAAATATATTTTAAAGCTATCACAAGATTTCCAATATTGAAACCACATTTCTCGACACGATTTGAAGGTAGGTTCTAATTTTAATGTTTAGAGCCTAGGCTATATACAAACTGCACCCATAAAAAAAAAAGGTATGGTTTTCATAGAGCCTAGGCTCTAAACAATCAAATTAGAGCCTACTTTCAAATCATGTCGAGAAATATAGTTTCAATAATGGAAAGCTTTGTGAGAGCCTTAAAATATATTTTCTAGCTTTATTTAAAAACTTTAAAGCTTTAAAAATAGTGTAGATCAACATATCTATGAAAACTTGAAAATATTGAAAATTGACGGTCAAAAAATGAGTTACAAAATATACTATTTCCAAAGCTTGAAATCCATATATTTTTTCTATGTCCATACATATTAATATCGAGATTATCAATTTGAGGATATTTGGACATCAAAACAAGTTCTTTAAGTGAAATTTTAGGCTCCAATTTGATTGTTGCCTAGGCTCTATATAAACTTTTTCCTAAAAAAATAGAAAAATATTAAAATTAAGGAAAAAGCTTTATGGAAATGTAAAGCATCGCCTCAAAACTTGTCAAAAATGGAAAACTTCAAATCAACCATCTATCATTATGATCGTGAAATTAGAATTTTAAGCCCCAAAACAACGTATATTTATATTTATTTTTAAGCATTATGGATCTACAAGATTAGCGGTACAAATAGCTTTTAGAGCCAATTTTCAATTGAACGACTCAGTACTTTTAAAGCTAAATTATTTTAAAAATAGGAAATATACTTTTAAAAAAAGTAAACAAAATACATCCAAATGAGATTAAGAAAGTAGTAAAGAATTGATTTCAAAATAATCTAAAATGAAAAGGAAAACTGCTTCAAATGGGCCGGACCACTTTTCTACAGTATACGGTCCAGAGGTATAAAGCATCCATTTTAAAGATGGATGCAAATTGGTGGTTCATCTAAAAACAAGTGTAACTAACAACCCAAATGTTTTATTTATATAATTATGGGTGCGGTTTGTATAGAGCCTAGGCTCTAAACAATGAAATTAGAGCCTACCTTCAAATAGTATTGAGAAATGTGGTTTCATTGTTGGAAATTTTTGTTATAGCCTTAAAATATATTTTCATATTTATTTATAAAGTTAAAAGCTTCAAAAATAGTGTAGATCGACAGATCTATGAAAACTTGAAAATCTTGTAAATTAACGGTGTAAAAATGCGTTACAAAATACATTATTTTCAAAACTTGAAAGCTATTTTTTTCTTATGTCCATGCATGTCGAGATGATCAATTTGAAGATATTTGGGCATCAAAACAACCTATTCTAGTGAACTTTTTGAGATAGGCTCAAATTTGATTGTTTAGACCCTCAGCTCCATATAAACTTTTCCCTATAATTATTATTTTTAGTTTTCAATTTTTTTACCTTTTTTCATATTCATTAAATTATATTTAAAAGATATATTTATTGCGGGCTAGCCGCAAAGAAACCGTGTCCAAAAGAAAATAACTACATTTCGGGCCCGCATGGAAACCGTGTCCAAAAGAAAGTAACTGCATTTCGAGCCACCATAAAAACCGTGTCCAAAAGAAAATAACTACATTTGGGGCATGGAAACCGTGTCCAAGAGAAAATAACTACATTTGCGTAGAAACCGTGTCCAAAAGAAAATAGATACCAGTGTCCAAACGAAAATATGTATATGTGCCCCGCATAGAAACAGTGTCCAAAAGAAAGCAACTACATTTGCTCGCCTAGAAACCGTGTCCAAGAAGTAACCATAACTACATTACGGGACCGGAAACAGAGAGAGGAGAGTACGACTCCACTGGGGATCGAACCCAGAATCTCTGGTTCCGTAGACCAGCGCCTTATCCATTGGGCCATGGAGTCATGAATCGGAAAAATTATTAAAAATTAAATAAATTGTTAACATTAGAACTTGCATTGATGTCTATTCCTTGTGACGAATAAAGTGAAGGACGCTGCTGGGTGGCCCTGTTTTGGGGCTGGCAAAGATGAAAATAACAATTGGCCTCATAATAACAGTGTATGAGAAATCAGAATTCTCTATGAGAGAGATACATTTCCCTTTATTAAATTTGTAATTTCATGTTAAATTTGGGATTGTAGTTTTATAGCAGGGATGTATGTTATTTCCGTTGATTGAACTGTATCTCATACTGAACTTGACTTTCAGGTCTTCTGTCTTCTCCAGAAAGTTGTTTTTAAATCCTCCTCCAGATGAATCGACTCCAATTCGAATGCAGGAGTAAGAATCTCAAGGCCATCCGCAAATGAATCCCAAATGAATGACTCCAATTCGGATGCGCAAGAGTTCACAGTTTCAAAGCCAACTTCTTAACAATTTCTGTTATGTCTCAAATCACCACTACTAAATAGAGACTCAAAACCCATCACCAAGATCAGTCTCTCTCTCTCTCTCTCTCTCTAAATTCACCAGCAATGCAGAATGACCAAAAGCCCATCTCCCAAAATATAACCATTCTTAAATGTTTTCTTCTTTTCCAGTGTCTGAGGAGTGCCAAAGAATCAAACCCTTCTCTAAAACATGAGCTTCTCTATATGAATTTCACCAGTAAGTGCACCATAAAATCAACTTCAAGGACAGTTTCTGATTAAAATCCACCAGCAGCTGCACCATAGTGTGCCAAAACCCAACTCTAAAATTCACCGATAATCACCACAAGAGCAAGACCCATCTATAAAATGGTGGTAACGGTTCACATTTCGAACAACAATCACTCTCTCTGCAATCTTCGACACAAACTTGATCCAAGTGTGACTGTCATTGCACACACTAAGATTCTTCGTCACCAAAAGGCTCGAACCCAATTGCCAATCTCTCACTATGACTACCAACCATGCTACTCTTCTCATCGTCCTCCACATCATGAAACACTGAACCAGTGTCCACAACATAACCTAACTGTTTCATGAGACCCCCCAGTGTTTCAAGCTCCATATAGATCTCATCAGACTTGGGGTGAGATTTATCACCAGCTAGAAAAGCATGGACCTTGCCCTTAAACTCTATCCAACTACAAGCAATGCTCTTCTTCAAATCTTTCTCCTTCGTTAACAAATAACAATCTCATCTTTGCCACACCCTCCCAATTCCTGGTTTGAGCAGATAAGTTAGACAGAAGAACATAGTTTCCTGAATCATCGGGTTCAAGCTCGATCAGCTTTTCTAATGCTAATTCACCTAAAACCACATTGTTATGTAGCTTACAAGAAGAAAGCAAAGCACCCCAAAATCCAAATGCCTGAATCAGGCTTAACAGGCATTCCTAAAATGGGATCCGTAGCCACTTGCAATCGACCCGAGTGGGTGGGGAGAGAGATCATGCAAGTGTAATGCTCTCGAGATTCTCCCAAACCTCTTCTCTCTCCATTTTCTCTCTCTCGCTCTCTCTCCCTCCGAAACCCTCTCTCTCATTTGGGTATCAAAACAATTTATTTTAGTGAAATTTTTTTTTGGTAGGCTCCAATTTGATTGTTGTCTCGGCTCTATATTAATTTTTACCTTAAAAAAATAGAGAAATGTTAAAAATAAGGAAAAAGCTTTTACGGAAATGCAAAGCATCGCCTCAAAATTTGTGAAAAATGTAAAACTTCAAATCGGCCATCTATCATTATGATCGTGAAATTAGAATTTCAAGCCCTAAAACAACGTACACTGGATATCTATTTTTAAGCATTTATGGATCTACAAGATCGGTGGCACAAATAGCTTTTAGAGCCAATTTTCAATTGACCGACTCAGTACTTTTCAAGCTAAAAATTTTAAAAAATAGGAAATATACTTTTAAAAAAATTAAACACAATACATCCAAATGAGATTACCAATGTAGTAAAGAAATTGATTTTTAAAAAATCAATTCGAGACCAGAAGTATTTTCAAAATACTCTAAAATGAAAAAAAAAATTGTTTCACGAGTCGGACCACTTTTCTTCAATATGAAGTACAGAGGTATAAAGCATCCATCATGCAAATCGGTGGTCCAAGAAAATATAAGAAAAACCGTGTCCAAAAGAAAATATAAAAGAAACTGTGTGCAAAAGGAAATATAAAAATAGGAGAAAACGAAATATAAACAAAAAAATATAAGAGAAATCCTGTCCAAAAGAAAATATAAAAGAAACCGTGTCCAAAAGGAAATATAAAAATAGGAGAAAACGAAATATAAACAAGAAAATATAAGAGAAATCGTGTCCAAAAGGAAAAAACGACTCCACTGGGGATCGAACCCAGAATCTCTGGTTCCGTAGACCAGCGCCTTATCCATTGGGCCATGGAGTCGTCGGATACAAGCATTATTAAAATTAAATAAATTTCTAAGATGAGGTCCATACTCCTATTCCCAACGTGGCGATTAGAAGGAAGGTTCATGGATAAAGGAGATGCAACTCTCCACACCATGTAAGATATTTCTGGAGATGAATTTAATGGGACAGCAGGCTCAAAAACTATAGGAAAGCAGGATATAACTTCCCGAGAGGCGGGAGTGAGTATCAGAGAGAGATTTAATGGGACAGGAGGCTCGAAAACTGTAGGAAAACAAGAGATAACTTACTGAGAGGCGGGAGTGAGAATGTCGGGGGCACAAGGAGCACAACCCCCAGGTTCATATACATGAATCAGTGGAAGGAGGGTTGAACAAGACCAGGCAGGACCTTAGGTCACCCAAAGATATGGGTGGGATACAGATAGAGAAGGAGCAGGATAAAGTGAAGGACGCTGCTGGCAAAGGTGGCCCTGTTTTTGGGGCTGGCAAATATTAAGATAAGCAAGATCTTCGTGTTACAGGCACTGGTTATTGCACAACAATGTAACAGTTTATGGGTTTTCCCTTTTTTGTTTGCCCTTTCCTGTAGTTTGGTTGTCGTTACCTTAGTGATAGAAATGAACACATAGATTTTGTTTTTTTTTTTTGTTTTTTTTTTGCCCTTTCATGTAGTTTGGTTGTGCGAGTTAGTAATGGACGACGTATGATGAGTATCGAGTAAAAAAAGGTTTTTTTTTTTTTGGGGCAGTTCAGTGGAACGTATATAGTTATATATGCAGCTTAATGAATAATGGTCTATACTCTGTATATTGGTGCTTTTGAAGATGAATTAGACTTCAGATTTGTGTATGAGAGAAATGCAGCACAGTAGCTCTCTCTGTGACATGTTTGCGTAAAGTGTAGTTCTACCCGTTCTTCCCCAAGGAAATGAAGAAGAAAATAATTGATGAGTATACTACCAAATTTACGAGAATGATTTACTTTAAATAGTGTGATTTTTTACCAATATATCAGTAATATTGAAGAACTTCTCATGAGATGGATTGCCATTTTAGCATCAAAGATCATGAAGCTGAATCAGTGTGTGTATATCCTTAAGCGGTGATCTAGGTTTTAAAAAATCAATCGATGACTCGAATCGGTCACACCCATACCCGTGTCGGATCGGGGGAATTGGTGGATCGGATGGGAAGAATCGGCAAAATCGGCAATTTTTTTTTCAAACCTTTTTAAATAATAATTCAAAAAAAAAACTGTTCATCTTTTTTTTTTCCCTCAACTCGATGAAAATTGGTCGGACTCGATGAAGAATCATTGGAATCGGCAGTTCCGCAAAAAAATCGGCGAAGGACCCGTATCCCATGTTTTGGCCTAATCCGAATCGTCCTGGACCATTCCTGATCTGGATCTTTTGATTCTGAATTGGGTCATCGATTTTCTAAACCTTGGTGGTGATGCACAACTGTCACAATGGAAAGAGAGATCTATTCACAGACCGCAAAATTTTGTGAAATACAAAATATTCTTTTTTTCAAAATTGCTCTTCATTCAATTAAAATTTTGTTTTTTTGAAATATTTTTTAGTTTTTTCAAGCATTTCCCTACAAATTAAAAAAATAAAAAATCAAAATTCGAGTTAACAGAAGGGTAATTTTGAAAAAAAAATAAAAGTGTGCCGACCGACCTCTTTTTGTAATTCCTCCTCATGTAAGCGTGAGCATTTTGTATTTTACCAAAAATTTTAGAGGTAACATAGATCACTCAAATGGCAATTTTGCACATAGATTATTACTAAAATGGATTTCCAGATAAGTTGTTTCTTTTCAGTATATGTAAATGATTTATTGACATATTCATGCGTGGAGATGGTTGGGAATTTAGATAACAATTGGCCTCATACTAACAGGGTATGAGAAATCAGAATTCTCTATGAGAAAGACATTTCCCTTGAGAGAGACATTACCCTTTATTAAATTTGTAATTTCATATTAAATTTGGGATTGTAGTTTCATGGCAGGGATATATGTTATTTCCCTTGATTGAACTGTATCTCATACTGCACTTGACTTTTATCAGATGGTCTTTGTCTTCTCCAGAAAGTTGTTTTTAAATCTTCCTCTGGATGAATTGATTCCAATTCGAATGCAGGAGTAAGAATCTCAAAACCATCCTCAAATGAATCCCAAATGAATGACTCCAATTCGGATGCGCAAGAGTTCACAATTCCAAAGCCAACCTCTTGACAATTCCTGTTACGTCTCAAATCACCACTAAGAAATAGAGACTCAAAACCCATCACCAAGATCAGTCTCTCTCTCTCAATTCACCAGTAATGAGCAAAAAGCCCATCTCCCAAAATATACCATTCTTAAATGTGTTTCTTCTTTTCCAGTGTCTGAGGAGCGCCAAAGAATCAAACCTATCTCTATAACATCAGCTTCTCTATATGAATTTCACCAGTTTTTCTAAAATTCACCAGCAGCTGCACCATAGTGCACCAAAACCCAACTCTGATATCCCTCTCTAAAATTCACCAATAATCACCACAAGAGCAAGACCCATCTTTAAAATGGTGGTAACGGTTCACATCGCGAACAACAATCTCTCTCTCTGCAATCTTCGACACAAACTTGATCCAAGTGTGACAGTCATTGCACACACTAAGATTCTTCGTCACCAAAAGGCTCGAACCCAGGCCCGTGCTGATCAACCCGAACCCAATTGCCAATCTCTCACTATGACTACAAACCATGCTACTCTTCTCATCGTCCTCCACATCATGAAACACTGAACCAGTGTCCACAACATAACCTAACTGTTTCATGAGACCCCCCAGTGTTTCAAGCTCCATATAGATCTCATCAGACTTGGGGTGAGATATATCACCAGCTAGAAAAGCATGGACCTTGCCCTTAAACTCTATCCAACTACAAGCAATGCTCTTCTTCAACCCTTTCTCTTTCATTAACAATCTCATCTTCGCCACACCCTCCCAATTCCCGGTTTGAGCATATAAGTTAGACAGAAGAACATAGTTTCCTGCATCATCGGGTTCAAGCTCGATCAGCTTTTCTAATGCTAATTCACCTAAAACCACATTGTTATGTAGCTTACAAGAAGAAAGCAAAGCACCCCAAATGCCTGAATCAGGCTTAACAGGCATTCCTAAAATGAGATCCGTAGCCTCTTGCAATCGACCCGAGTGGCCGAGGAGAGAGATCATGCAAGTGTAATGCTCAACTCTTGGCTCGATACCATAGTCCCTAGTCATAGAATCGTAAATCCCTTGCCCCTCATTGATCATGCCACCATGGCTACAAGCCGATAAAACCCCAACAAACGTTACATGGTCGGGTTCAGCCGCTGATTTCTTCATCTCATCAAACATGGCCATGGCCTCACATGCATGGCCATGCATGCCATAGCCGGCTATCATCGCATTCCATGATATGACTCTCTTCTCTGATAACCCATCGAAAAGCCTTCGAGCCACTCTAACCAAGCCACATTTAGCATACATATCAATAAGAGCCGTTCTCACCTTATCTTGGCCATCAAACCCATGGCGCCATGCATGGCCATGGATCTCACGTCCCATGCCCATGGCCCCATGGCTCGCTGAGGCAGATAGGATTGTGACAAGTGTTGCGACCGTAACCATCCGAACCCCACTAGCTGCCATCTCTCGACATAGGTTTAAGGCTCCCAAGGGGTAACCATTTTGACCATAAGCCGCTATCATGGAATTCCAAACCACCACATCCCTTTTGTGCATGCTATCAAACACTTCTCTAGATTTACGAACAATGCCACATTTGGCATACATGTCTATCAAGGCAGCTCCGACGAATATATCGGAGGCCCAACCAATCATGATAGCATGTTCATGGATTTCTTCGCCAGCTTTAACAGCCGTGAGGCCTGAACAAGCCTTCAGTACAAATGGTAAGGTGAAATTATCAGGCTTTAAACCCAATTTTAGCAAATCGTAATAGAGGTTCAGAGCCTCTTCTAATGGCCCATTCCAAGCATAGCCCCTGATCAACACATTCCATAAGAAGATGTTTCTTTTCGGGATTTTATCAAACAGTTTGCGGGCAAAAGGTAAAGAATCACAATAAATAGCATACAAATTCACTAATTTTGTGGCCAAAATGGGGTCATACCCAAAGCCCATTTGGAGCAAGCGGGCATGGATCTGTTTACCTGGTTTAATAGCCTTTTGGTACACACAGTCTTGGAGGAGCGATGAATAGAAGCCATGAGAGGCACGGTTCGAAGAGGACCATCGGTTGGTTTCAGTGAGAATTTGAGGAGCTACTGAATAAAATTTAAATTTGTGATTTGGTTTTGAAGAGGAGAGAGAACAAAAGGAATCGAATGAGAAGAGTAAGAGAACGCGAGAAATCGACGAGCAATGCAGGGGCTTAATCGGGGTAAGCATCAGGAAGAAGAGAAAGCAAAGTTCATGGCGATAGCAAAAACTTGGGGGCACTTAATACAGGGTGAAGCATTGAAAAGAGGACAGAGAGAAAGTCTTAGAGAGAGAGCATAAAGCAACAGTGAGCAGGGGGAGGCTTTGCAAAAAAGAGATCCGTAACGGCTATGTTTTCTCGTTATATGTAATACGTGTGGTTTGAAACTGGCGGGCGTTAAATGCAAAATAACGGCGATAAAATGGTGATAACGTACAATGTGGTATATAAAAGTGTACCATGGTCCACCAGAAAATCTACGTTCTAAAATGCCTGTGAGCAGCCAATCGACGGATGGTTGTGATGGAGAGAGGGTCGGAAATACGACTCGCTTGATCTCATATTTTGGTGGATCCAACTACTCTCAATCACCAGTATCCATTGATTGGACGGCGATGAAACTCCAAATCTCAACTTTTTTTCTTGAAAATACTTGGTGACTATAATGTGGATCCAAAAATTTCATATCCAAAAAGAAGTCTCCGAATTAAGTCCGTTCATCAAGAGAGTAAAGGCAAAGTGACCTTTTTTTTTTTTTTATTCTGAAATACTTAAGGGAAAAGGCTCTCGATCGTTGTGGTAGAGCACTCGTACCTTAGTTACTACATTGTGGTTTCCATTTCCATTATCAAAGCACCCTACTAGCATATTAAAAAAAGTAACTCCTAAACGATTTAAAAAAATGGGAAGGGGCACCAAAAAAATTTAATATATTCGAATTAAAATTTAATAAAGCACAACTAAATTGTGGTTAAAAATTTGCAAAAACTATAGATTTTAAATATAATGCATTTTGTGATTGGAAGTATTTTCAAAATTTCTAAAAACATGGAAAAATGTAAAACTAAGTAGGGGCACCAAAACAATTTAAAAAATCTAAAAAATAGAAAGAATATATTTGAATTAAAAACACTAAATATAATGCATTTGTGATTGGAAGTATTTTCAAATTTTCTAAAAAATGGAAAATTGTAAATCTGGGAAGGGGCACCAAAAAAAAATTTAAAAATAAAAAATAGAAAAAATCTAAAAAATATATTAGAATTAAAATTTAACAAAGCACAACTAGCCATGCGTTCAACGTTTCCAATAACATATGCTTTGATTATGATCAGTTTTTATTTCATTTTCTCTTCTTTAAATACCTCTCATGTGTTTCCCTTTTACGTAACTTCTATGAGAACAATTTCGAAAACTACAAAAAGCCGTTAATAGGTAGAGTAGAAGGCTAAGTACGGTACATAGGAGCAAATAGGGCACCGGAGGAGATTAAAGACTAATTTTAATATTTTCTCTATAAACTTTTTATTGTGATTATATTGTGCATTTTTTTATTTTTTTAATATTGTAACTTTTTATTTTTTATTATATTCGTGTGTAATTTTTTATTGGCTGCTATTTAAAATTTATTATTATTTTTTGTTCTTGTTCAAATGCATGAGCGGGTTGGTTAGCCAGGTAACCCAAGCCTATATTTTCTTAGAACCTAGTCTATATTTTCTTAGATCCTACTATACAGTATTTTATTGTATTTGGATTTATAGTTATTTTGCTTTTGCTTGAATTCATATATAGTATCTTTATTTAATAATTTTGATAAGAGTCTATTTGAGATTTTATGAATTCCATTAATTATTTTAGTAGCTATATTCATTTTCCGACAAGCATTTTCTGGAAAGTGGATGGGGGGAAAGAAATGAAAGATAAAACTGCACACTAGAGAAAAAAACTAAACAAAGTAATATCTGGGAAAGTAATAGAAGTCAGGCTTAAACAAAAAAACAAAAAAAAAAGAGAAACTAAACGAAGTAATATTTGGGAAAGTGAGAGAATTTAATAGCAGAGATAAAAAAAGGAGAGAAAAGAACGAATATCCATGAGAAAAAGGAATCGAACTCATTAACGATAGGTAAGAATCTCAAAAAAAAAAAAAAACACTCAGTACCTTCAACCAAACTTTCTTTGCACACTTTTTTCTACAAATACCCCCAAGTCAAAAAATTCAATTTTTTTTTGACGAAAATGCCTATAGTACCGGACTGTCCTATTTTGTGTTGGACTGCATGTCTAAAGTGCCGGACCATCCTTATTTTTAGCCGATCTGCATGCTTTTTATAAGCAAAATGCCGGACCGCCCCTATTTTGTGCTAGACCACGTGCTTTCCAAAGGCTATCTTGATTTTCATTTTGTTTTTTTTCTATGACTAGGGGGTATTTGTTAACTTCGAAGTAAAAAGTGAGAAAAAAAAATTGGTTAGGGTAAATTGCCTCTGTGGCACAAGTGAGATTGGAAGACAGAAGCTTCCACCAAATCCAACCGAAGAAACCATTATTAGTTGGAACAAGCATGAGCACCATGCAAGTAGCAGGGCACTTTCATCCGGCCCCTTATTTCCCACTCGATCAATCAAAACAGTTCCAGAGTTCCAAAATGCTCATCGCTTTTCTTCGGCGTAAGCAACATTCTCAAAATCGACACAGCCCATAAAATCCATCATGTACGACGCAAACGACTAGAGACAACTACCCGATGCATGGTTGAATGGGAATTATCCAGGATCTCCAAAAACAGATCGATTGCTGGAAAGATACGAGTTAGTGTGCTGTTTAGCACTTTGTCAACAACAACAGGTGGAGCCTCACCGCGCCATGGTGGTCGGGCAGGGGCAGGGCTCGCCTTTGCCGGTGGTGCAGCCGATTGGCAGGAGGTGATTGCCGGTTGTGCATGGGGAGTAGTGGTGGTGGAGGGATTGGGTATAATCCGACTTGGGTTGTACATGGGGGAGTGGCTGGTGTTGTGCGCGGAAGCTCTAAATCTGACGGGTTGACTTTTGACAAATAAATGGTTACATCCACGGGCTTGGCAAACAAAAAATTACTACACAAATGAAAGTTACAACAAGTATTTTGAAACATTATACCAATATTTTTTAACATAAAGTTATCTCTCTAATCCTCGACAAAAACTAAAGTAAATCACTCTACTTCCTTTTCTTAAAAGGAGAACAATCCAAATCTCCATGGGAATCTTGTTTTCCAATAAACAAGTCTCTCAACTGAGTTTCTCTCTAGCTAAAAGGGGAATAACCCAAAATCTCCATGAGAACCGCTTCTCTCCCATAAACAAGGCTCTTAATTTTTAAGAGTCTACAAGAGGTACCATTACAATGTTTCTTTCCACATGAAGTTATCTTATCTCTAAGAGGAAACCTTGCATCATATATACAATAGGCCTTGCCCCCCTCTCTATCTAGACGAATTCCCGTCACCATATCATGACCCAAATTAGGCACATAAATTCTCTACACTGTCATCTCATATATATATATATATATATATATAAAAGGTAGAAATCCTTATAAATAGGAAACTTATTATAGATGTTACATATATTTTAAAAGACCAAAATATATATTAAAGCGTCATAATCCTTTTTTTATTTCTATTTCCCTCAGGAACCTTGTCAATATCAATCTCAATCCCACGTAATATGAGAATATCTCAATCCCACACAATATGGAATTTATTTATCTGTTGATTTTGGATCGCACCAAATCCAACAATGTCCACCTTGATAGCTTCATAAATTCTTCATATTTTGCCAAATAAAAATTTTCATGATTCTTGCTGAAAAATAGTGTTTTCCATAAAATTTCTCCACCTAGAATATTGTATTCGAAACTTTTACTACCATACCGAAAACCCCAAACCAGGGCTCTGATACCACTTGTTGTGCATGAAAGCTCCAAACCCGACGGGTTAATTTTTAGCAAATAAAATACGAGAAATAAATCATGAAACACATAACACAAATATTTATGTGGTTTGTCCCAAAAGGGTTGCATCCACGGGCACGTCAAACATAAATCCACTATACCAATGAAAATTATATCAAATATTTTGGAACATAGAGTTACCTCTCTAAACCTTGACAAAAACGCAAGTCGAGTAAACCTTTTTAAACCACTCTCCCTTCATTCTCTTTATTTTTGGCAACTATTACCGATAACACCAGATAGAGACGCGAGAGCAACGATAAACTGAGTTTCTTTTTAACTAAAAGGGGAACGACCAAAAATCTCGATGAGAGTCTCTTCTTTCCAATAAACAAGCCTCTCAATTTTGAGCGTACCAATAAAACATCAATAATCAATAGATTTTAGGTATGACACAATATAAATTTCTTCAAAATATTGGAAATCATTAAATCATTCCTATACTGGAATTTTACTCTCCATAGGGAAAAGTCTAACTAAAATTTAAACTGCGACGAGATAATCAATTTTGATATGCACACAAATCCAAGATTTCCACTTTTTCTTAACTGAGACATTCATAATTAATATTTTGTTTGAAGTAGCCTTTTTTTCTTTTTAGAAATTCATTGAAGGGGAAAGAAGCAAGCCTCTCAATCTTGAGGAGTCTACGAAACACCATCTTTGCCCCTCCCTCTCTCTAGAGGAATTACCATTGCCATATGGTAACCCAAATTGGACAGATAAATTCTCTGTACTTTCATCCCATATATATAAGACTAATAATTCATATTAAATAAGAAACTTCTTATAGATGTGTCACACCCCAAGAATTTACAATACAGATATTCCTGAGATATGACAGTCAAAACATATATACACTCTTGATAAGACAAATTTACAGTGGATAATACTTATAAGGTAACAAATGAAAGCTTAGGCACAACTACAATATCTTCCAGAGTGGATCTTGATGGGCACTCAAAATGAAACCGCAGTTATCCTGAAAAAGTTTACCATAGTTTGATGAGTTTGGCTACTCAGTAAGTGATCATCATAATCTTAAAAATAATCATGATTGAAAGATATCAACCTTTTCAAATAGGAGATCTATTAACAGAAATGCATTAACAATTTCACTTTAAAAAATACATAATTAAGTATAATCTGAATAATTGAAATGCATATAACATTTTAATGGCAGTGCATAATTCAAAGGATTTCACAAAATACCCTACTGGCGTCCCAAGTAGGTCACCTATATACCCCATCAGCGTCCTGATGGGTCCACTTAATCCCTATCGGCCCCCCAGATAGGTCCACTTAATCCCTGCAGGTCCAC